CCCCCCCAACAAAAAAATCTTTGGTATTCCTCATAAAAAAAATGTTTGGTGTTCCTCGGTCTTAAAAAGTTTAAGAAACACTGTCTTAGACAGAATAAAAGGTCAGTAGTAATAGCCTACCATAATGGCACGTTAGCCAATCTTGCAAAACTACATCAGCCTTGATTCAACAAAAACAAAGTACATAAGCACGTGCTTAGCTTTACTCATGAGACTAAGTTACTGACAGTCGACTTAAAGTTGAGCATGTGCTTAAGTGCTCTTTTGAATCAGGGCCACCTAAGTAGCTCCCGGACCACTTTCATAGGTAAGAACCCAAAAAAATAATGTCGTCTGATAAAGCCTTACAATGGGTCAGACTTGAATAACAAGAGGATAGCAGTAGGAATATTCTACCTACCACCTGACCAAGATGGTGATAGTGACCGTGAAATGCTCAGAAAGTTTAGAGAGGCCAGAAAAACTGAAAACTCCATGATGAGGGATTTTTACTATCCCAGTACTGACTGCCACCTCAGGACCAAATCCAGAGATAAAATGTCTAGACACATTAATGATTGTTTCTTGGATCAGCTGGTTCTGGAACCCACAAAGGGAGGGGCAATTCTTGATTCAGTCCTAAGTGGCACACAGGATGTGGTCCAAGAGACGAATACAGCAGAGTCACTCGGTAATAGCAACTATAATGTAATTACATTGAACAGCCATGTCAGGAGGAAAATACTGAAGAGACCCACCACGGCAGCATTTAACATCAAAAAGGGGGAACTACAGGAAAACAAGGAGGCCAGTTAAAAAAGAAATTAAAAGGAACAGTCACAAACGTGAAATGACTGCAAACGGTATGGGAAAGTTTCTGAACACGCCCCAAGAGCGTCAAACTAAACGTATACCCCCAATTAAAAAAAAACAAAAACAGAGGATCAAAAATAAATAACTAAATAACTAAATGCTACCATGACTAAACAACAGGGGAGACCAAAAGACTTCTTTTCAAAATTGGAAGTTTCAAATCTTACCAAGGAAACTACCAAGAAACATCAACTCTGGCAAATCAAATGTAAAAATATAATCAGACAGGCCAAAAAGAATGTGCAGAGCAACTAGCAAAAGACACAAAAACTAACAACAAAATTACTTGCAAGTACTTCAGAATCAGGAAGCCCGCCAAATGATCAGAGGAGCCACTGGATAGAATCATAGAACACTAGAACCAGAAGGGACCTCGAGAGGTCATCAAGTCCAGGCCCCTGCCCTCCTTGCAGGACCCAGTACCATCTAGACCATCCCTGATAGATGTCTGTCTAACTTACTCTTGAATATGTCCAGAGATGGAGAACCCTCAACCTCCCTAGGCAATTTATTCCAGTGTTTAACCATCTTGACAAGCAGGAAGTTTTTCCTAATGTCCAACCTAAACCTCCCTTGCTGCAGTTTAAGCAAGGGATGCACGATAAGAAAGAATCACTCATCGAAGGAAGACAAAGCCATTGCGGAGACGCTAAATGTACAGTAATTCCTCATTTAACACGTGCCCGCTTAACACGTTTTCACGATTTCCCTAAAAAAAAAATTGGGCTCTTTTTTGAATTACACGACCGTCCCCGGAATAACACGATTTCCCCAGCCGGCCTGTCATTGGCGGCTGTGTCGGGCTTCCCCGCCTCCCTTCAAAGTGGCGGAGGGTTCACCGCTCGCTGCACCTTTCCCCAGCGACCCCCCCCTTGCCGGACACAGTGCGGGTCCCAGCAGACCCATCACAGGGGCATACTGTACTCCCAACCCAATCCCCCTCCCTCCTCCTCCCCTCCCCTTCCCCAGAGCCAAACACCTCCCCTCCCTGCTATAATCCAGTCCCCTTTCTCCCCCAACCTTATGTCCCAGTCCCAACAGACACCACCGCTTGAAACGCAACCCCCCTTTTCCATTATTTTCAATGGGAAAACTGACCCCGCATACCACGTTTTCACTTAACACGATCATTTTCTGAAACATAGCTATAGTGTTAAATGAGGAATTACTGTATTCTTTACACTGGGCTTCACTGCAGAGGATGTCAAGTAGAGTCCCACAACTGAGCTTTTCTTTTTAGGTTTCAAATCTGAGGAACTGCCCCAGACTAAGATGTCAAAGAGGAAGTTTTGGAAGAAACGGATACATTACACAGGGATGAACCCAGCCAGATCCAGGTCACCCAAGGGTTCTGAAGGAGCAGATACGAAATTGCAGGACTTCTGATTGTGGTATGTAACTGATCACGTCAATCAGCTTCTGCACCAGATGACTGGTGGGTACTTAACGCAATGGTGATTATAAATAAAAAAGGTTCCAGAGGCGATCCTGACAATTACAGGCCGATAAGCCTAACTTCAGTACTACCGCAATCGTCTGAAACCATAGTAAAGATCAGAATTGTTATCCACACAGGGGAACACGATATGCTGGGGAAGAGTCAACAGGGCTGGCATAAAAGGGTCTCATGCCTTGCCAATCTATTTGAATTCTGAGGGGATGGGAGCCAACAAACATGTGGGCAAGCATGATCCAGCAGAGCTTGTACGGGTCTCAAACTCCCAGCCTGCAGGCCATCCCTGGCCAAAGCAGTTGTGCAATCCAGCCTGGGAGTCCAGGCAAGCTGAGGACCTGTTCCTGTTCCCCAAGACCTGTCCCTTCTCGCCATCACCCCGTCCTCTCCCCCCATGTGACCCTGTCCCCGAGGACATGGCTTGGGGCATTACCGGGGGGCAGGAGGCGCAGGGAAGCAGAGTGCAGCAGAGCAAGTGCACCTGCCGAGTGCACCCCGCTTCCCCATGGTTCCCTGACCGCTCTTGCTGCACCACACCAGACTCCCTTGCCCCTTGGTAATACCTGCAGCCACATCCTCAGGGAACAGGGAGCCATGGGGCGGGAGAGGGTGGAACAGTGGCAAGAAGGGGCAGGGCAGTGGCAGGAAGGGGCGGGGCTAGGAGAATGGGAATGGACACCCCTCCCCCAGTCCGCCAGGAGTCCTGGGCTGGATTGTTCAACGGCTCCGGCCGGGGATGGCCCATGGGCCGGGAGTTTGAGACCCCTGAGATACACAGTATCCTGGCACCTTGAGAAAGGTTTGGACACGGTCCCTCACCAATGGATCTGAAGCAAACTAAGCTGTCATGGATCTGTAACTGGTTCAAAGTCAGGAAACAAAGAGTGGAGACTTCCCCTCAAGGATCTTCAGTGGGACCACTGCCATTCAACACACTGATAAATGGTCCGGGATAAAGGGGATGCAGCACGGTCACAATGTTTGCAGGTGACACAAAATCCTCAAGATTGTTCAGTCCAAAGCTCACTGAGAAGTTACTAAGGGACCTCACAAAGCTGAGTGACAGGGCGACAAAATGGCAGATGGAATTCGGTGTCGGAAAGTGCGAAGTCATGTGCATCGGGAAACACGATCCCAGCGGGACAGACAAAGGGACGGGGTTTCCACGGGGCAATACTGCTCACGAAAGAGATCTAGGAGTCTCTGTGGGGGATTCTCTGCACCCGTCCGCTCAATGTGGGGCAGCTGTCAAAGCAGCTAAGAGACTGTATGGAGGTGTGGGGAAAGGAACGGCGACTCTCAAAGGCCCTGTAAAAATCCCGGGTACAGCCACACCTTGAGCCCTGCATGCAGTGCTGCTCCCTCTAGGTCCAAGAAATAGAGTAGAACTGGAAAAGGTAAAGAGAAGAGCAACAAGACTTATTAGGGGTATGGAACAGCTGTGGCCCGGTGATTCCAAAGGGCCGTGGCGCCCAGTGCTGCCCTTTAAATCAGCAACATCACCCTGTTGCTGCTCCGGGCAGCTCTATGGGTAAACGGAGCTGGTGTGGCCCTACTCCTTCTACGTGAGACACCGCCCCTTCTGAGAGCATGGAGCCAGACCTCCCCCCGCTGCCCACCCACCCACAAGGGCCCAGTGTGGCCGTCAGCTCCCCTAAAGGTTTATACACTGGTGCGCGGCGAAGAGAAACTGAGGAAGTGTTATCTACCCAGTCACATGATGTGTGGATGGGAGCCGTGGCTTTCATTACGAGGAGCGATCCACTACGAGGTGGCGGAAAGCCAGGAACTAGGCCGCCTGGCTGTACGGTGACCAGTGGGCGCGCTAAGGCAGCTCCCTGTCTGGCCTGGCGCTGCGGACCACGCTGTGCCCTGGGAGCTGTCACAGCAGGTCTGGCTCCTAGGTGGAGGCGAGTCGCCAACTCTCCCAAGATAAAAAAGCTAAACAAGCCAAAAAATGAAGCCAGTCCCACTGCAAACCAAACCCAACATGAGCCCTCCTCCTTGTAACGCCCTCTTAGATATTTGCAAACCACTATCATGCCCCCTCTCAGTCTGCTGTTTTCTAAACAAGCCACTTTTCAGTCTTCCCTCACAGCTCCTGTCTTCTAGACTTTTCATCATTCTTGTTGCTCCTCTTTGGACCATCTCCAATTTCTCCACATCTTTCTTGACATGTGGTGGCCAGAACCGGACACAAACCTCCAGTTGAGGCTGAATCAGTGCTCCAATTGAGGCATCACTAACTAGGAGCCGCTGGAGGTCAGCCTGTGTCCCAACACTCCCCTTGCCCCAGCTCTGAGGTCCCCCCCCCAACCGAGAAACCCCTGCTGGACCCCAAACACCTCATCCCTGCCCCCGTCCCAAAGCCTGACCCTCTGCATCCCACACCCATTCGCCAGAGTCCCCGCCTACATACTGAACCCTTTTGCCCCACCCCCCAGCCTGCACCCCAAGCCCCTCATCTCTGGCCCCACCACAGAGCCCACATCTCCAGGCAAAGTCTTCAACCCCTGCACCCTCCACCCCTCCTCCCTGCGGCCCCACCCTGAAACCTGCACTCTAGTGAAGAAATATCATTATGCTAGGTCATGGCCATCAACCATTTTCTTCCACGGGGTCCGTGGGAAAAAAAAGTTGAAAAATGCTGAACTCAAGGTGGCCCAAGTAACTTCATGGCCAACTGGGTGAAAAACCAAAGGAAGTTTTCTCTTCCCACTATGCACAATCGCACAATCCAGGACGCATTGGCTCGGGAGGTTGTGATGGTCAAAAGCAGAACTGGGTTCAAAACAGAATGAGACCCGTTCGTAAAGGTCCATCAATGGCTATCAGCCAAGCCGGTCAGAGACACAACTTCATGGCCAGGTGTTCCTAAGCCTCTGATGCCAGAAGTTGGACATCAGGGGAGGGGATGCTAGGGTGCTAGGGGCAGGGGCTTGTATCGGTTCAGGAGCATTCTGCAGACGTTCCCTCTGGTTTCCATGAGTTCTGCTTAAAATTCAAAAGCAAGATGTGGCCCTCAGGTACTGACATTACCATGTGTTCTTCAGCATTTTATGGTGCCCGAAAACAAGTGGCCCTGACCGCACAAAGACCCCCCTACCCGATCTGCCACACCCTTTGGATTACTTTCTTAAAACTGACCTCAATCTGCACTGTGTGAGGGTTTCAATTTGGACTGCAGTCATTGATGGCTAGAGTTAAGGCCCTGCCTCCCGAAATGAGCACGTGTCACCATACGCAGGGCTCTTACGCTGCTAAGCGCACCGGATCTGCACAGGCAAGATTGCTTGCTCCTAAGTATTTAAGAGCTTCAAAGAAAAAAAAATAGCCAACCTGCCAGATTGTGCTGATTCTAAAGGAATGGGACCTCGCTGCATAAGTTGTGTCTGCACCATATCCTTCCTCCATGCTAAAGACACATTTAACACTGTACTAGTTTATCTGTCACAGCACAGAGTGCATTTGCTGCTGGCTCTGCTAGCTACATACTGTAAGCCCACTGATGAATGGGCAGCGATATGGGTGCAAACACACACACACAAATCGGAATCCCGGGTAGGCACACAGGCATGTCTGAAGAAAGGGCATTACGGCCAGATACAATTCTTACCAGACTCTCATTTCCAGATTGCCCTCAATGGGAGCAAAATCTAGCCCCCAGTGGGTAGCTCACCACAAATTGGCAGTATGGAAATGATCAAAAGATACTCTACCCAGTTAAGGGCTGTGCTGTTTGTGGGTTTCATTCTACATTATTTGGAGAGCTTTTACATAAAAAGGTAACTTGAAAAGTTCTACAGATGTAGCCTTCTCTAATGCACATCTGCTACAATTAAAATACGATTTCACATTCAGGCACCTAATAATCTCCAAGGGGAAAAACTGCCTTACTTCTCGGCATAAAATACAGTAGTTTCTTACAAATAATTGGTACAGAACTAAAGAGGATTTCTGTTTTCAAAATAAATAAATAAAAGCTTTTCCCAAGAAAAAGGAGAATTAACATGATATTTAATGTTCTTCGGGATGTCTGCTCATAACAAAAGAAAACCAGCATGTTTTAATAAGCTAATGCACCTCAAGAAACTTTAGACCACGCAAAAAGTTAAACATTTTCTTTGGTCGGCACTTTCCATCTTGGAATCTCTTTTGTTCTTATATTTCCAAACTGTATTTTTACATAGACAATGGATAACTCACTTTCATTGTTTAGGTGGTTCACTCTTCCCGGTTTTCTCTGCACTAAGAGCTCCCACACAGGAGTATGTGCTATTTCCCCCCCAGAAAGCCTGAGCTGGCTGGAAGAAGGGAGCACTGCAGCTTTAAGAAAGCAGCAGTAATTGACTAGATCCCCACTCCGTCAGATAAACAGCTAGTCAGACTGGCGCCAGCAATATGCAAACTGCATATTATCACCACTTCTTCACCTAAATAGCAGAGGGGGGACCCCTCCTTAGGAAAAAAAGAGCTTTTTAAGCACAACTTGAAACTGATCTCAATTCAAAGGGGATAATGCCAGGCCAAAGAAAAGAAAAGTTTTTGTCTGTTTAATTCCCTTCTTCTTTGCTTCAGCAAACCTATGATTTTCCTAAGCTGCCTTCTAAGTCACTTACAAGTTGGGTCTCCTTCAGTGTGAGGGAGAGACTAACAATTTCGGGAAGATGTTTGCAGCGAAATAAGAAATGGGGAAGCATGGAGAGGGGGTTTATTCCCAGTTAATGGTTGCTTTGGGGAGAAGGGGCTTTAAACATCAGACATGAACCATGATATGGTGGGTTAAAGCCAGGCACCTTTTAACTGAGGACAGACCTCTCTCCAAAGCACTGGTTTTGCAAATGCAACTCACTGGAAGTGGGGGGTAAAGGAGAAAGGGAAGGGGCTCATCTTTTACATCCTCCTTTGAAAAGCATGTTTGGAGAAGGGGCCCAAGGAAAAGCCCAGTTCGCCTCCCTCAATGACAGAAATTACAGAGCCTTATCAAGCCATGCATCGATGAGTACGAGCTATGCGCACAATGCTACCAGAGCCCAGCTCCTTCTCCAAGAGGGACTGCAGGCTCCCTTTGGGGAGGGCTAGCTCACACAGAGCGGATGGGAAGGGGGTCTCAGACATCCCCCAGCTTTGGGAGCCTTTGGTCTCTCTCCCTCCCCTCCCCCTTGTCTCTCAACCCCTCATCCTCTCACAGCCCAGGCCAGGGCGGGGGATAAATTCACTCCTGACAGCTGCCTGTGCAACGCCTAACGGGGAACAGCAAACTGACTAAGTGACAGTTCCAAGTTCACTATGGGCTTTGCATCCTGGAGGGCCTATTGCCCCAAGTGGCTGCTACCTCCCCCTGCCTGCTTGCACACAACACACGCTCCAGGGGCAGTAAATGCCAATACACCAGCTGTGGCCCTTGACAGCAAGAGCAGCTCTCAGCACAGCAGCTAGTCCAGCCCCAGGAGAGCAGGTGAAACGGCGCTCAGCAGCATACCAGGGCAACACAGCCTGGCACGTTTGCCCCATGCCACCAGAGCTCCCTGGTCTGTTGGGTCGTGTGGCTGGTGCAGGGGAGCTGGGACTGAGACCTGCTCCAGGTGACCTGCACAGATGCTGTGTGAGAATGGTAGCAACAGCAACTGAGAGCAGCCTTCGGCACCCCCTCACTCTGGCGCCTCCTGCTGGCCTTTGCACACAGGGACAGTGCTCCGCCAGCCTAAAAGGGAGACAGAGACAGCAAGAGACTATGCACAAACAGTTCCAGTGCACTGAGGCCTTCTCAAACTCCTTCAATGGGTGGAAAATCATAATTCAGAACATCAGCTGGCTGCATCTTAAGAGTGTTTCTCTGGCTCCGTTGGGAAACAATGGGGCAAATCACTGAACACACCAAAGCCACGAAAATCAGGAAGCTCAGGCTTGGTATGCAGGCCTAGGTACCCCATATTACACATAAAGGAAACGGTTCTGCACCTTCCCAAGGCTGGGGACCAACTCTGACCCAGACCTGCGGGGGCATTTCACTGCAAGAGATCCCCCACCAGGCAGTGCACTGCTGAACACTGTCCCAATCCGAATGAGCAAGAGCTATGTTTCAATACAAGCTACTAAAACAGCTGTGATGGGCTATTTGGTACAGACCGGTCCACTGTAGGAGACAAGCCAAGAGCATCATCTTGAACCTAGATGGTGGTCAAAGGTATCTTAGTTAAACCAACCCCAATGCTCCTGGCAGTGCTAGAACTAAAATGTCCCTTCCCACTAGCCCCACTTCAGTTTTGTTTGTTGGTCTGAAACCCTTAAATGGCCAATCACATCCCATCTTTCCCTTTTATGACCCTCCCCCCCAATAGTTCCTGAAGGCTGCCTGCACAGCACACTTCCAATCTAGTCCCAAAGGGGCCCTGAAATGAGCAAAAAGGTGATGTTGCCACTTCTCTTGGCTTGAGCTCTGGGCTTGCATAGGCCTTTATGCAACTTTCCATCTCCCCTTTAACTCTCCCGCCTGGATATTGCTGGATCCTTAGGGGCATTTTTGGAGAGTGGTCTGAAAGGGCGTCAGATGCCCAGGGCAAGTTACTGAGAGATCTGACAGATTTTGCTGCTGGTTTAAAAAAAAAACCCCAAAAACCATTCTGCAAAGGATTTGCCTGGGTGTGTTTGCGTGGAGGGAATAGCGGAGAAAGGGGCAAAGACCAGGATCCAAACCGCCCCCGCCCTGTAGATCGACCAAGACCACCAGGTGAACCCTCCCTCTTCCAACCCACCCCTTGTGAAGCGGGAACCCCCCGTGCACAGAAGTCGGGCTCCATCTTCTCGGGGAGGGGGACTGCTAGACCCTGGGCGCGGCGATGGGGTGTGTGTCCCTTAGCCCCCCCGCTCCCGCGACTTACCTGGCCCACAGAGCCGGCTGAAGTGGTAGGGGTTGCAGCACACCGTGGGGCTGTCGGCCAGCCCGAAGCTCTGGCACTCGCACAGCGGCTTCAGCTCCGCCAGCTGCTGCAGGTC